TCCTGGGATCAAGCCCTGTATCGGGCTCCCTGCTCCGATTTATTTATTTATAAATAAATAAAATCTTTAAAAATAAAACAAATTAATCAATGGAACAAGAAAGAAAGGTCAAAATCAGACCATTTATATATGGTATATATCATACAAGTATCATTATAAAGCAATGAGGAAATGGTAAGTTATTTAGTAGATGTTGGAAGGAAAACTGACTCACTATTGTATAGAGAAAAATAAACCAGAATCCTCACATAACACCATGTACAAAGATAGAATCCAGATGGATTAAAGGCCAAAATGTAAAGGTAAAATCTATAACATTAATGGAAGAAAAGAGTATCTTTATGACTTAAAGGTGGAGAAGGACTTATTTAAAAATACTTCAAATATATAAAATACCAGGCAAAATATGATGAATTTGATCACATAAAAATTAAGGATTTATGTTTAATGAGGGATATCAATAACACAGTTATAAGATGAGACAATGAGGGAAGATATTTACAATGTTGAAAGCCAAAATGGACTAATAGCTAGAATAATCAATGAACTCCTACTCACTAATATGAAAAGGACAAGAACCCAATAGAAACACAGTCAAATTTTCAGAAGAGAAAGTACAAAAGGCTAACAATAATAAAGGACGCTCAAACAGATTGGTGATTTAGAAAATGCAAATTAAAACAACACTAAGGTATCACTTTATATCTACTAACTTGACAAAAAGTAGAAAACTGGATGCTGCCAAGTGTTAGCAGAAATAAAGGAAACTGAAATACTTACGTATTTTCTGATGGGATCTTAATATGTGCAAACCTATGGTATGCTTACAATGTTTATTGGTAAAGATTTATTTATTTATTTGACACAGAGAGACAGCTAGAGAGGGAACACAAGCAGGGGGAGTGGGAGAGGGAGAAGCAGGCTTCCCGCCGAGCAGGGAGCCCCATGCGGGGCTTGATACCAGGACCCTGGAATCATGACCTGAGCCGAAGGCAGACGCTTAACGACTGAGCCACCCAGGCACCCCTGCTTACAGTGTTTACCAGCTCTCCAGAAAGAAAAAATAACATTATATTATGTAATATATTATATATATATTGTTACTATGCATATAAAAATATATATACTATGTATGTCTGTGTGTAAATACTATAAATACCACATATGGTTTACTATAAACTTAACTGATATCAAGGCCTATAGCAACCACTTTACAAGTAATAAAATATACAATACTTTTTATTGTAACTTCCAGATAATCAATTGATTTTCACAGAATGCTTTTGTTGATTTTTGCCAAACTCTTGCATCTATAGCCAGCCTGTGGTTGCATTGGAAGGAGTGTAGTGCTGATACAAATGTTGCTTAATATTTTAGCTTATGTTGGGTGCCTGGGTGGCTCAGTTGGTTAGGCGACTGCCTTCGGCTCGGGTCGTGATCCTGGAGTCCCGGGATCGAGTCCCGCATCAGGCTCCCTGCTCGGCGGGGAGTCTGCTTCTCCCTCTGACCCTCTTCCCTCTCGTGCTCTCTATCTCTCATTCTCTCTCTCAAATAAATAAATAAAATCTTTAAAAAAAATATTTTAGCTTATGTTAAGGAAGAAGACAAAAAGTGAAACAGTGAAGATGTACATATGTTTGCCAATGACCTGAGCAACTTCCTTGCTGAATCAGATAATAGTTTTCATATGCTGGAGGAATATTTCCTCAAAATTCTGTGCTATTCACACATAACAGCTACAAACTCAATATACTTTTAAACTTAATTGTAGTGCTAACAGTGTCTTCATCATTTCCTAAGTCTAGACAATCAAGAAAACAACAAATCAGGGGCCATCAAACTTTTTCTGCAAAAGGCCAGCGAATAAATGTTTAGGTTTTGTGAACCATGCGATCTCTGTCACAACTATTCAACTCTGCTATTGTAGCATATAAGCAGTCATACACATTATGTAAACAAATAGGCAAAAATAGGAAGTAGGTTGGGCAGCCAGTTTGCCGACTCCTGCAGTAAATCAAACCCTAATTTGTGGCATTTGCTGATTTTTGCTACTAATGTGATGTCACTGAACATGAAGTTGGAAAGAAATATGCAGAAGCATGCCATTATACAGTATTTCTACAATACAAATAGAATAGACAAACGACTTTAAGAACAAAGATAATCATACGATAGAGTGAAATAATTATGAAGTGATGAGAGCTTTGAGTATTTCTTACCTTTGATTTTGCTATAACTTATCCAATTGTTATTATAGACAATTTAATATTGAATACTGTGCTTAACAACCAGCTTTGCACAATTTCTGAAAATTAACCAGTTTTTGTGACCTTGTTGTATGAGCAAACTCACGGAGATGCTTGAGAAGAATCTTCCATACTTAGTCCACTGACGGAGAGGATCTTCAACTGGGAGAGAGGCTAGACATGGGTGATGGATATAAATTACTAAATGCCGGGCAGCAGTTAGAAGAACGGACCAGATGTACACCTAGGGAAGCTGTGTTGCACAACTCCAGACATTCACATCATACTCTATGTGGATGGCATCTCTTGAGTGAACCATAACAACACGATTACATTTTAAAAGCAGTGCTGAGGGGCGCCTGGGTGGCTCAGTCAGTGGAGCGTATGACTCTTGGTTTCAGCTCAGGTCATGATCTCAGGGTCCCGGGATTGAGCTCCACACTCCTGCATGTGCGTGCTCTCACTCACTCTCTCTATAATAAATACATCTTTTTAAAAAAAAAAAAAACAGTGCTGAATTCTTCTTCCAGCTATGATGGAATAACTAGGACTAAATTAGTCATCTTGCTGTGAACATTTGGCAAGTTGTGCAAAATAAATGAAACAAAGTGTTTAGTTACTAGTCGATAGGCAGCACAAGACTGTGATCCCTGTAAGAATAGAGGAGGGATACAAAGTAAGCCCCACAATTACCCTACATTTTTTACGGGGAAGCACTGTGTAGACCACAGTGTGGAATGGGGTGAGGAGGATACAAGCAGAGCATGGAGCACTCGCTGACTTAAAGAGACAAAGATCAGAGTTCTGAGAGGTTGAAGCAGTTGGAAGAGGGAATTACACCAAAACAAAACAAAACAAAAAGCTTCCGAATTCTACACTGAGAGAAAAGATAAGAATGACCAGTAACTAAAAGCTGAAGAATTTCCAGAGTTCATACAGGTTGGAGAGTCATTTTGATTTCTGAAAACTCCAAAGTGAAGAGTCATCACTGAAAGTTTAGAGAACAAGTGGAGAATCTATAAAGGTAACACTTTAATAGTAAAGGTAAATTAGCCCTAGAATAAATGCTATTTTTAAGTCTCTCTAACAAAATTTAAAAACAAGCCTTGACCAGTGGGGAGAAGGATGGGAAGATGGGAAAATGGGTGAAGGGGAGCCAGAAGCTTCCAGTTCTGGAATAAATAAGTCCCAGGAATGAAAGGCACAGCACAGGGAATACAGTCAATGACACCGTAACAGCGCTGTGTGGGGACAGATGGCAGCCACACTTGTGGGGAGCACAGCACAATGTATACAGAAGCTGAATCACTATGCTGTACACTTGAAACTAATGCAACATTGTGTGCCAACTGTACTCAAATACATTTATAAAAAAAAAAAACCCTTGAAAAGATTGAGCTGATACACAAGTGAATTAACTGCATGACAGAACAAAGTCCAAAACACACAAAGAATAAAAAATACACAAAATCTAGCACTCAACAACATAAAAATCCCAATGTCAAGCAATTCTTCAAAAAATACCAGACATGCCAAGCAGCAGGAAAATAACAGAAACAGAAACAGACTCAGAAATAACAGAGACGGGACACCTGGGTAGCTCTGTCGGTTGGGCGTCTGCCTTCGGCTCGGGTCGTGATCCCGGGGTCCTGGGATCAAGCCCCGCATCGGGCTCCCTGCTCAGCAGGGAGCCTGCTTCTCCCTCTGCCTGCTCTGCCTGCCATTCTCCCTGCTTGGGCTCTCTCTCTCTAACAAATACATAAGATCTTTAAAAAAAAAAAAGAAAGAAAAGAAATGACAGAGACAAGGAACTAGCAGTCAAGAACTCTGAAACGGTTCTTAAGTATGATCAAATATTGTTTATATAAAAACATGAACATAATGAGGAGAGAAATGGAAGATAATAAGAATAAAATGGAATGTCTAAAGCTATAAAATACAATATCTGAAATGAAGTTCACTGGATTAAACACCACAGAAGATCAGTGAACTTGAAGACAGCAATAAAAACTATCCAGACTGGGGGTTCCTAGGTGGCTCAGTCAGTTAAGCATCTGCCTTCGGCTCAGGTCATGATCACAGGGTCCTGGGATCGAGCCCCGCATTGGGCTCCCTGCTCCGTGGGAAGCCAGCTTCTCTCTCTCCCTCTGCCTGCCGCTCTGCCTACTCGTGCTCTCTATCTCGCTGTCAAATAAATAAATAAAATCTTTAAAAAAAAAAAAACAAAACTATCCAGACTGAAACACAGAGAGAAAATAGACTAAAAAGAAATGAACAGAGGCACCTGGCTGGCTTAGTCAGTAGAGTATACAACTCTTGATCTTGGGGTCATGAGTTCAAGCCCCACATTGGACATAGAGATTACTTAAAAAAAAAAAAAAAAAAAAAAAAAGAGGGACATTTGGGTGGCTCAGTCAGTTAAGTATCCAACTCTTGGTTTTGGTTTGGGTCATGATCTTGGGGTTGTGAGATTAAGCCCCATGTCAGGCTCTGTGCTGGGCGTGGAGTCTACTTGAGATTCTTTCCCCCTCTCTCTCCCCCACCCCCCACTCCTCCACCCACTCGAGCATACACACTCTCTCTAAAAATAAGTAAAATATTCGAAAAAAAAAAGAAAAGAAATTGGGGCGCCTAGCTGGCTCAGCCGGTAGAGCATGCAACTCTTGATCTCAGGGTTGTGAGTTCAACCCCACAATGGGCGTAGAGATTACTTAAAAAATAAAAAATCTTTAAAAAGAATGAACACAGATACAACGCTCCGCCGCCGCTGCTGTCGCGACCCGGACTGCGCGCCAGCACCCCACTGCCGACAACTCCGCCACCATGGAGGACATGAACGAGTACAGCAACATAGAGGAATTCGCAGAGAGATCCAAGATCAACGCGAGCAAGAATCAGCAAGATGACGGTAAAATGTTTATTGGAGGCTTGAGCTGGGATACAAGCAAGAAAGATCTGACTGAATATTTGTCTCGATTTGGGGAAGTTGTAGACTGTACAATAAAAACAGATCCAGTGACTGGAAGATCAAGAGGATTTGGATTTGTGCTTTTCAAAGATGCTGCTAGTGTTGATAAGGTTTTGGAACTGAAAGAACACAAATTGGATGGCAAATTGATAGACCCCAAAAGGGCCAAAGCTTTAAAAGGGAAAGAACCCCCCAAAAAGGTTTTTGTGGGTGGATTGAGCCCAGATACTTCTGAAGAACAAATTAAAGAATATTTTGGAGCCTTTGGAGAGATTGAAAATATTGAACTTCCCATGGATACAAAAACAAATGAAAGAAGAGGATTTTATTTTATTACATACACAGATGAAGAGCCAGTAAAGAAATTGTTAGAAAGCAGATATCATCACATTGGTTCTGGGAAGTGTGAAATCAAAGTTGCACAACCCAAAGAGGTATACAGGCAGCAACAGCAACAACAAAAAGGAGGAAGAGGTGCTGCAGCTGGTGGACGAGGTGGTGCTAGGGGTCGTGGACGAGGTCAGGGCCAAAACTGGAACCAAGGATTTAATAACTATTATGATCAAGGATATGGAAATTACAATAGTGCCTATGGTGGTGATCAAAACTATAGTGGCTATGGCGGCTATGATTATACTGGGTATAACTATGGGAACTATGGATATGGACAGCGATATGCAGACTACAGTGGGCAACAGAGCACTTATGGCAAGGCGTCTCGAGGGGGTGGCAATCACCAAAACAATTACCAGCCATACTAAAGGAGGATGTTGGAGAAAACAGGAGGAGATTGCTAAAGTTAACCCATCTTGCAGGAGACATTGAAGATTGGTCTTCTGTTGATCTAAGATGATTATTTTGTAAAAGACTTTCTAGTGTACAAGACAAAACTGTCCAACTGTATATAGCCGCCAATTAGTTTTCTTTGTTTTTACTTTGTCTTTTGCTATCTGTGTTATGACTCGATGTGGATTTGTGTTTATACAAATTTTATTTGTATGATTCCATGTTAAACCTCAAATAAATGCTTCCTTATATGAAAAAAAAAAAGAATGAACACAGTTTTTGGCCTATAGAACAATATCAAGTAGTTAGATATACATGTATTTAGAATATCAGAAGGAGAAAAGAGTGAGAATAAAGGAGACAAAATATCTGAGGGGGAAAATGGCCAAAAATGTGCTCTAATTTAATAGAAACGCTAAACAACATATTGAAAGGCTCAAAGAGGGGTGCCTGGGTGGCTCAGTCAGTTTTGCGTCTGCCTTTGGCTCAGGTCATGATCCCAGGGTCCTGGGATTGGGCCCCCTGCTCAGCGGGGAGCCTGCTTCTCCCTCTGCCGCTTCCCCGTTTGTGCTCCGCCCCCGTCAAATAAATAAATAAAATCTTTTTAAAAAGGCTCAAAGAATCTGAAACAGGATATGTACAATGAAAACCAGATCAAGGCCCATCAAAATCAAATTGCTGAAAACCAGTTATAATAGGAAAATCCTAAAAGTATCCAGGAAAAGAAAACACATGTCATGTACATATATGAGAACAATTGCAGAATACACAACAGAAAACATGCCAGCCAGAAAAAATATGACCCATTCACAAGAGAAAATGCAATCACTGGAGACTCACTCCAACATGACCCAGATGTTGAGATTATTAGGTAAGACCTTTAAAGCAACTATTATCATTATGTCCAATGAAGTAAAGGACAGAGAAGATAGGAAATCTCAGCAGAGACATACAAACTATGAAAAAGAATCAGATGTAAATTCTAAAACTAAAAATACAATATCTGAAATTTTAAAAATCACTAGATGGGCTTAACAGCAGAACGGGTTTGACAGAGAAAAAAATCATTAGACTTGAAGACAGTTTAATGGGAATGATCAAATCTGAAGTACATATAGTAAAGGAGTTTTCTTTTTCTTAATGAATAGAACTCAGTGACCTGTGGATGCTACTGGATGATACAGCCCTGATGTACTGAAGAACCATACCAACAAAGTTCTGCCTTTGGCATTTCTGGGCACGCATGAAATTGCTGATAAGGAAAAATCAGAAAGAGAGGAGTATAACTTATGGACTGAAGTGTGGCAGGAAAATGTACCTAGTTCCTTTGGTGGCATTCAGTTATACCTGCAGGAGTTGACTGCCATTACCCAGAAGGCTTTGCAGTCTCAGTCCCTAGTACCTCCATATCTGGGAATGATACAGACCACATGACTGCAAGGCCTAGCCCGAAGAACATGGGCAGGAAAGGAAGGGCTCTTAAAAGTCATTGCCTGTGTGGTGACACCTTGCAGTACAGAGCTAGAAAAGCCTGTGCCCAAACAACCCAGCACAAGTGAAATTCTCCAAGCTGCTCTGAAGGAGTGTTGCAAAGAGAATCTTAAAGACAAGATCACAGTAATCAGCTGTGTAGCAAATGTCCTGAAGGCCACCAAAGAAAAGAGATTCCAGGAGTTTTCTGACATTGTCATACCTCTTATCAAGAAGAACTCACCCGAAAGCACTGGCATTGGAACAACCAAAAATGAAGATGGAAATGTGAAGGAAAAAGAGCTCCAGTTGGAATCTCTGCTTGGGAGCCTTTGGGAGCCTGGGCAAAGCTGGGCCCCAAACTGTGGAGGGCCAATGCTGTTATCATCAGGAGCTGTGCAAGTGATGTGTGAATGGCTAAAACTGAACGTGTGGAAAGTGCAGTTAGGAGTCCTACAATCAATGAATGCCTTTTTTCAGGGATTAATGCTTTTGGAAGATGAACATGCAGATCCTGAGGCTTTGGCTGAAATTCTCCTTGAAACTTATAAATCAATCACATATTCTTTAGAAAATAAGACCTATTCATCTTTGAGAACAGAAGCTTTATCTGTGAGAGAATTACTGCTTAAAAAACTTGAAGAATCTAAACAGTGAAAAAGTTTGACATCTAAATGCACAGTGCTCCTAATTGAGTCTTTAGCTACTCTGGAGACAGACAGCAGACCTGAGGTGCAGGAGAAAGCATCATTACTGAAGAAAACACTTGAAAATCTGGAATAAATTAGCAGGGGAAGAAAGAAACAAGTGCCATGTTCAATGGGGGTTGAAATGGTGGTATTCTTTGAAAATCCAAGTGCGGAAAAGTAAAGATTAATCTGTAGCATGCATCATTCCTTGACCGACATTTTTAAAATGCCTTTAAAAATCTAATACGAGTGTAACTGGAGTTCTAGAAGGAGAAGAAAGAGAGAAAATATGGCATAAAGAGTATTTGATGAATAATGGCTAAAATTCCCCCGAATACGGTAAAGACATGAATTTACAGATCATTTTTAAAATGCTAAGTGAAACCCAAACAAGATAAATATGAAGAATATTATATTCATTAGTCACATTGCAGTAATATTGGTATTATAATTTTGAAACATACATGTACCCCTATACATTCACATGTATAATACCATGGAAAAAATAGCAAAGAGAGATGAACAAAAAAATCAAAGGAATTAATTGAAAACCCTGTAATCCTTAATTTGAATCAGAAACATCAGTATAAGCTCATGATTCATTTTTCTCTTTCTAAAAACCACACAGTTCCTAGTTCTGCTCACTGGAAAGGCTTAGAAATAATGACAACCCAGTAGCAATGAGCATCCCAAAATAAAGATAGTGGTGTCTAAACAGAGTTTTCTCCCAAAGGAGCCAAGTCTCCTTGGTGAAATAACTGATCTAGGTTAGAGCAATAAATGTTCAAGATGGGTCTGTAACATCTTGTTTTGCCAGTAAGCAAGGAAGCTATCAGACACTAATAAGATTTGTAAAAATAAACCAAAATCAACTTTAAAGAGCTCCCATTGGCCAAAAATGAGAAAATTTGAGCATCAAAAAACCAGTGACTTCGGGACACCCAGCTGGCTCAGTCAGTGGAGCATGCAACTCATGATCTTGGGGTCGTGAGTTCCAGCCCTGCATTGGGTGTAGAGATTACTTAAAAGAATAAATTTTAAAAATTTTAAAAATTGGGGCGCCTGGGTGGCTCAGATGGTTAAGCGTCTGCCTTCGGCTCAGGTCATGATCCCAGGATCCTGGGATCGAGCCCCACATCGGGCTCCTGGCTCAGCGGGGAGCCTGCTTCTCCCTCTCCCTCTGTCTCTCTCCCTGCTCATGCGCCCTCTCTCTCTATCTCTGTGTCTCAAATGAAAAAATAAAAAAAAAATTTTAATTTAAAAATTTTAAAAATTAAAAAAATTACTTCAATGGATTAAAAAAATGGTGATTATTAACAAAGCCATGAATTCAAAATAGTTTCACAAACTTCCATTTATGAAATAGATAAATCACAGAGATGAAAAGTATAGCACAGGGAATATAATCAATAATATCGTAATAACATTGGTGATTACACCTATTGTGGTGAGCACTGAGTAATGTATAGAATAGCTGAATCACTATGTTGTACACCTGAAACTAATACAAAATTGTATATTAATTATACTTCAAAAAAACTCCCATTCTCACCGTTAGAGTTTACCAGGGCACCTACCCATTATTTTGAAAATTGTTAAATAAAAGGAAAGAATCAAGCATCTAACACGCCTTCCCTATATGAACTTCATTTCGGGGTAACCAAATAGTTGATAAGGAGAATTCTTTCTTCGTGGAAAAACTTCCTGCCAATAAATACAGAAAGGATGATAGACTTAGAAAATCACCGTTTCACAGACTATGAAATAATGGATCTAGGAAATGATCATCACCAATTATCAAACCATTGGTGAAATCTTGACAGGAAATTTATAACTGATGGATCAAGTTGCCAATACTTAAACCCACTGATGAATGTTAACATCACTAAAAAGTTGGACAGCCAAACAACATGTGCCTCCTGATAATTATAAGAAATAGGAAATATACCAGTACTATGAAATTATTTTTCCAAATAATAATAGTAATAAAGTAATAATCAAATCAAGCCTCTATATCTACCTAATTAGAGGAAATATGGAGTACAGAGGAGCCAGTTGGACAACACCAACAGATATAATCAGCCAAATCCAGTATGTGGGCAATTCTAAAAAACAAACTGGTTTCATCAAATAAATGGCATAAAGAAATGGAGTGGAGGGGTGCTGTTATAATAAAAAGAGCAAAGAGAGACTTAAAACTCATACCAATCAAATGCAATGTGTTGATGGTACCTGATTCTAACAAACCAAACCTAAAAACGAAACAAAACATTTTTTATACAATCAGGGGAATTTGTCTATGGAGTGTATGATATTATTAAGGAAGTATTATTTATTCTATTATATGCAAAATGATACTGTGGCTATGTTTTTTTTAAAGTGTCCCTACTGTTAGCCAAGTGGCCACACGTGCCAGGGTACCATCTTGTTCGGGCTGGATTGACTTTTAAAGGAATGAGTTAGCCCACTCCTAGGCAAAGATTATCTTTGGCCGCTTAAATCATTACATAACAGTTTGTTGGGTGGATGGATCAGGCTGTCACTATCTGAACCAAGTAATCTTAGCATCTCCCAAATGTGACAACTAAACATGATGTGCCTCATGGAACCAGACTTCAAACAAAGCTTGGCACACAACAGGCATTCAATAAAATTTTGTTAAAAGCTGTCTGCCATTATGGCCCTCGGCCCACTCTTCTACTCCACCAGCTCTCTGCTGCTTAAATGCTTCCCTCTGGACTGTGTAGCAGATCGTAGTTCAGGCTTAGGACCACCAATGGTCTACTTTATAACACTGCTGCTAGCTTCTGTCATTCTCACTGCTCCCACTGCGGCAACTGTCACAGACTCTGCTCCTGTGACCCACAGCTGTCTCTCTTCTTGTTGCATGTGGAAGCTGACTTTTTCCTTCCCAGCATGATAGCTCTCTCAACTGACCTTAGCAGGTTTGGCCCAGAAGTGGTCATAGCTCCTCTAATGCCTCTTCAGCTGGACAGTTCCATATGCCAAGGAGGAGCTGAGGCCGCACAGCTAGGCTACAAGTGTCCACCTCCTTGTGCCCCCCCGGGACCCTATCACCTCTACAGATCAACTCTTTAC